AGTTGCTAGATGTACTTAAATATTCTGCTTCCTCTGAGTGCAGATTTCTGCGCTTTTTCAAATTTCGGACATTCCACAGGACAAATCATATTGCATACCGTTCATGCGGAAAAGGATTTGACGACTAAAAACAAGAAATCTGTGAAAAGCTGATAAAATTTCCGCCTATCACTCTATACAGGGGAGGAATACTCTCTCAAGAACGGTTTCATGCCCCAGAATACTAAGGCTCCGTGAATTGTCATCGAAACTGACCTTAAAAAATTCCATTTCATCCAAATTCTTAGATTCTAGATTCTAAGATGATATTATATTGTATGAGGTCGAGGAAACCTTTTAAAATTTACTCTCGAAACATGCAATTTTCTGTTTTTTCCACATGACCCGTCGGTAACTACTCCAGTTCGATCATCATTACAGAAATCAGCCACGATCAGACTTGAGAGCGTCGTATTGCAAGTCGCCACCATAATTTTCACCTGTTCCACGCTTATACCTAAAACCATTTTGGGAAGCCATATCGCTTCTTTGTACTGGTTATCCTCGACTATACAAATCTGCACCAAAACCCTTGAGTGTGGCTGGTTTTGTTTACTTTTGTGATAGAAACGTGTGATTGCAGTTTTGATTTGCCTTATAAAGTGTTTTGTAGGTTTTTCAATAAGTAAGTAACCAGGTTAGTAGGCCTTATTAACGCGAGGTGAAATTCGTTTATTATGATTTAGAGTATTGCCCTTTAGTTGGTACTTGTACAGTTCTGAGAACTCGTTATATAGTTACTGGACTAGAAAAGATGGACTAGTTCGTAACCTAGTTTTAAGTCAAATAAACGCCTTTTTGATATTTCCTTCTTTACATGAACCTGCCTTGCGGTCTCTTAACAAGGCTTTTCTCTCATTTTTAGTATTCTGACGTTTTGCTTAACGTCTCCCGTGTAAAACTCCTTCCCGTGCGTAAACACATCCGCTCCGGCACTACCACAGGGGCTAACCTCGTTACTTGTGGTGGCAATGGTTTCGTTCGTTTCTGGAACGCCTACGCCTGCATCTTAATTGGTGAATTCGTGGCGCATCCAAAAGGTTCTTCTTTCCTGGATTTCTTTTAAGATTTCAGTCCCTTTGCGAATTAACCATTTTTCTACATATCAACTAATAAACAAAAGACAGAGCTTGTGTTCAATTTTTCCCGGATAATTTACACTTTTTATCGGCGCTTAAAACGTTGTGTCGAGTTCGAGGCTCGGATAGTGCACCACTTGAGCGTGGGTAGGACTGCGAAACGACTGCTAATAAGCCAGAAATGGCCATTTCAGTCTCCCTTGTCTTTGTCGGCAATACTATACGTTGCCAAATCTATAAATCCATATGTGTCCAAATCTAGGAGGTTAACTTAGCCTTCATATTTTGAAACTGGAATAGCTAAATTTCACGATTTATTAGTTTTATACACAAATCAATTTGTGTCTTTAATCTGTTATTTTCGTTCTTTATACACTACGTGATTTGAACTCCACTTAATTCAGTATGATCTTAACTCCGGTATGTACTGATTGACCGCATACTCCCAGAACATCCACACGTTCACCACAGTGGCGTCAGTAGAAAAGACATTCGTAGGACAGGGCTGTGCTCTATCAACTTCGTCTCTCCCAAGCGCATCTCTACATACCCCAGTTTAAATTGGCTGACTGTGTTTGGGACTACTTAATCACACTTCAGTGGCCTTCTGACATGTAATTTGAGGACATTTACTTGACGCCCTTGGAAAGTAGTCAGCATGAACATATCTCTATGTTTGAAGAACTGAGGTCACTGGAATTTTGTCTCTAAGTGGCCTGATCAAGTTAGCCCGCATTTTTTTCTTTTTTATCGACGTTCAATCCAATGAACGTCAAATGCCAATCAGTTCTGAATCTAAACAAGGCAAAGGTGAGGAAATGCACGGAAATTATTGCCGACATAAAATTTAACGACCTCTTATTCAACTTTATATGATTGTTGCCACTATAGTGAAAAGTAAACTTTATATGATTATTGACAAGATACACTGGCAGGTAAATAAAGCACGAACTGTTGGTCTGATATGCATGTGCGCAGGTGAGGGAGGAAAGGGGTAGATAACTAA